CACAACTAACAAGACAGTATTAGGGGAAGGAAGCAGGCTGTGTGTGTGTGTCTGTGTGTGTCTGTCTGTCTGTGTTGTGTGTGTGTACAATAGTGTCCAACACATTAACTTTGTCCCATAAAGTGTAGGGGTGTACTGTACTAGTGTGGAGTGAGGCCTGTGTACTCTCTCTCTCTCTCTCTCTCTCTCTCTCTCTCTCTCTCTCTCTAAGTGTGAAAGTGTACTAGACTATGATATGCAATCTTCAAAGTGGTGTGTGTGTGCGTGTGTGTGTGTGTGTGTGTGTGTGTGTGTGTGTGTGTGTGTGTGTGTGTGTGATGGTAGTGGTAACGCGCGTCATTAGACAATAACAAATGGAGTGAACAGCAGAGATATTATCACATGAAGTTCAAGTGTGTGTGTGTGTGTGTGTGTGTGTGTGTGTGTGTGTGTGTCCTCCACGCTTAGTCTCCATCTCAACATCCTTTTATTTTTATTTTTTATTTATTTTTTACCATCTTGATAAAATTTCTCTTCTTGGCGCTTGATTTCCGTCTTGTTGTTCTTTAATATTTTAATGTCTTGGTAAAATTTCTGTTCCGTCAAACTTCACTTTTCCCCTTCCTCTCTTCCCTCACCTTCTCTCTTCCTCCTTCCTCACCCTCTCTCCCCTTCCCTCTCCCCCCCTCCTTCCTTCACCTCACCCTCTCTCCCCTCCACTCCTCCTCCCTTAACCCTCTCCCTCCCCCACCCCTCTCCCTCACCTCCCCACCCCTCTCCTCACCTCACCCCCTCCCCTCTCCTACTCACGCCAGCTTATTAATGAAAACCATTCCTTTACCTGTTTCCATTAATTAAATTCACCTGGATGAAAATGTGATTACCTGAGAGTACTTAGTGAAGGCTGTTACCTTAATGGGATATTTAATTACGTCTTTTGAGAATAGGGATTAAGAAATTGGTCTTTGGGTGTTGGTGTTTGTTTGTCTAATTGATAAAAGTTGGGGTTTTGTTGTTTTGGTTATTATTGTTATTATTATTGTTATTATTATTATTATTGTTATTGTTATTATTATTATTATTATTATTATTATTAAGTTCTTAACCCACCGTACTGAAGGGTTAAGAAAATGTGAGATAAGTGTTATGACTTTAGTTAGAGGACAGGTAACACTGTCTTCCCCGGAGAAGGAAGCCACTCTTACTTACTCCTTCCTGTTGCTCATTATCGTCATAGTAACCTCTGACTCTGGACGTGGAAGGAGGAAGAGGATGGAGAGAGGAGGAGGGGGTGGAAGGAGGAGGAGGATGGAGAAGGAGGAGGAGGGAGGAGGAGGAGGATGGAGAGGAGGAGGGGTGGAGGAGGAGGAGGAGGATGGAGAGGAGGAGGAGGATGGAGAGGAGGAGGAGGATGGAGAGGAGGGGGGGGAGGAGGGTGAGAGGAGGAGGATGGAGAGGAGGGGGGGGATGGAGAGGAGGAGGGGGGTGGAGGAGGAGGGGGTGGAGAGGAGGGGTGGAGAGGAGGAGGGGGGTTGAGAGGAGGAGGGGTTGAGAGGAGGAGGGGTGGAGAGAGGGAGGAGTTGGAGAGGAGGAGGAGGGGATGGAGAGGAGGGTGGAGAGGAGGGAGGGTGGAGAGGGAGGAGGGGGGTGGAGGGAGGAGGAGGGGGTTGAGAGGAGGAGGGGTTGAGAGGGAGGAGGGGGGTGGGAGAGGAGGAGGGGGTGAGAGGAGGAGGAGGATGGAGAGGAGGAGGGAGGGGGTGGAGAGGAGGAGGGGGTGGAGAGGGAGGAGGGGGGGGTGGAGAGGGAGGAGGAGGATGGAGGAGGAGGGAGGATGGAGAGGAGGAGGGGGATGGAGAGGAGGAGGAGGATGGAGAGGAGGAGGAGGATGGAGAGGAGAGGAAAGAAATGGGGAATGCAGGAGGAGGGAGAGGAAAGGGTGATTGAGGAAGAGGAAAAAGAAGATAATGGAGAAGAATAAGAAGATGAGGGAGATGATAAACAAGGAGGAGGAAGAGGAGGTGAAGGAAGAAGAGGGAGGAAAGAGGAGGAAAGGATGATTGAGGAGGAGGAAAAAGAAGATTATGGAGAAGAATAAGAAGATGAGGGAGATGATAAACAAGGAGGAGGAAGAGGAGAAGAGAAAGAAGTCGGACCAAAGCGGATAATGTCAGAGATGCTGTGTTGGTCCTTGAGAGATTGTGGCTACACCGCCGTAACAAGAGAGACAGTAAGAGAGACAGTGAGAGAGACAGACAGTAAGAGATAGAGAAATGCCACACTCAGAGGCTGAAGAGGTGTGACTCCATCATAGTTAAGTAAACCAGGTGATGAATGTAAACTGGCTGGGCGGGAGTGACCATCTGTCTGGAGGAGGAGGAGTGGCCAGGGAGGAGGAGGGTGGCCAGGGAGGAGGGTGGCCAGAGAGGAGGAGGAGGAGGGTGTGGCCAGGGAGGAGGAGGGTGGAGGGGGAGGAGGAGGAGGGTGGCCAGGGAGGGAGGAGGGTGTGGCAGAGAGGAGGAGGGTGGCCAGGGAGGAAGGAGGAGTGGGGAGGGAGGAGGGAGGGTGGCCAGGGAGGAGGAGGAGGATTGGCCAGAGGAGGAGGAGGGTGGCCAGGGAGGAGGAGGAGGGGTGGCCAGGGAGGAGGAGGAGGTGGCAGGGGGAGGAGGAGGAGGTGGCAGGGGAGGGAGGAGGGAGGAGGGTGGAGCAGGGAGGAGGAGGAGGGTGGGCAGGGGAGGAGGGAGGAGGGTGGCCAGGGAGGAGGAGGAGGGTGTGTAGGGAGGAGGAGGAGGGTGGCAGAGAGGAGGGAGGAGGAGGGGTGGCTAGGGAGGAGGAGGAGGGTGTGGGAGGAGGAGGGAGGGTGGAGGGAGGGTGGCCAGAGAGGAGGGAGGAGGGTGTGGGGAGGGAGGAGGAGGGGTGTGGGGAGGAGGAGGAGGGTGGCCAGGGAGGAGGGAGGAGGGGTGGCCAGAGGAGGAAGGAGGGGGAGGAGGGTGGGCAGGGAGGGAGGGAGGAGGGTGGAGCAGGGAGGAGGAGGAGGGTGGCCAGGGGAGGAGGAGGAGGGTGTGGCAGGGGAGGAGGAGGGTGGCCAGAGGGAGGAGGAGGAGGGTGGCCAGGGAGGGAGGAGGGGAGGGTGGCCAGGGAGGGGAGGAGGGAGGGTGGCCAGGGAGGAGGAGGAGGGTGGCCAGGGAGGAGGGGAGGAGGGTGGCTAGGGGAGGAGGGAGGAGGGGTGGGCTAGAGGAGGAGGAGGAGGAGGTGGGGTAGGGAGAGGAGGAGGGGTGGGCAGGGGAGGAGGGGAGGAGGGTGGGGCTAGGGAGGAGGAGGAGGGGTGGGGCAGGGGAGGGGAGGAGGAGGGTGGCTGGGGAGAGGAGGGAGGAGGGGTGGGCCAGAGAGGAGGAGGGAGGAGGGGGTGGCTAGGAAGAGGAGGGGAGGGGTGGGAGGGGGGAGAGGAGGAGGGAGGGGTGGCTAGGGAGGGAGGAGGAGGAGGGGTGGCAGAGAGGAGGAGAGGGGTGGCTAGGGGAGGAGGAGGGAGGAGGGGTGGCCAGGGAGGAGGAGGAGGAGGGTGGCTAGGGAGGAGGAGGAGGAGGGGTGGGCAGGGGAGAGGAGGAGGGTGGGGCAGAGAGGGAGGAGGAGGGTGGCCAGAGAGGAGGAGGAGGTGGCCAGGAGGAGGAGGAGGGGTGGCCAGAGAGGAGGAGGAGGAGGGTGGCTAGGAGGAGGAGGAGCCGTCTTGGTGTTAATATGTTCAGTGGTTTATAAGACGACCGAGTTACCAAATGGTGCGCGTCTGTTGTGTCTTATCGGTCCTGGTGACTTGAGTGGGGGCGACTGACTGTTGAGTGGGGGAGACTGACTGTTGAGTGGGGTGGCTGATGTGGGGCGACTGACTGTTGAGTGGGGTGGCTGACTTGTGTGGGGGCGACTGACTGATGAGTGGGGCGACTGACTGTTGAGTGGGGCGACTGACTGTTGGGGGGGCGACTGACTGTTGAGTGGGGCGACTGACTGTTGGGTGGGCGACTGACTGTTGAGGGGCGACTGACTGTTGAGTGGGGCGACTGACTGTTGAGTGGGGTGACTGACTGTTGAGTGGGGCGACTGACTGTTGAGTGGGGCGACTGACTGTTGAGTGGGGTGACTGACTGTTGAGTGGGGCGACTGACTGTTGAGTGGGCGACTGACTGTTGAGTGGGGTGAGGACTGTTGATGTAGAGCAATAACTGTTGCTACCTGCACTATCAACTGTTCCTCCTGCACCACTAAGGTTCCTAACTGCGCCATTAACTGTTGCCCCTGCACCACTTAACTGCTCC